AGGGTCAAATGTCCCTCATTAACGCTGATTTACTGAGAGGGCTGGGAAGTGGAAGAGGGAGACAGTCCAGCTGCCTGTCTCACGGTGCAAGGAGCCCGGTCCGGGATCCAGGCTGGGAGGTGAGGGCCGCCCCCGGCACGCCGTCGGGGTGGCGGGGCTACCGGCAGATAGCACAGCAGGGTGCAGGCTGCCGTGCACCCACGCCGGGTTGCCTGCACCCCAGAGCAGACCTGACCTGCCCGAACACAGCAGAGCGGCAGGGCAGAGCTTTCTTGGCCCTCAGCTGGGAAACATGGTGACTTTCTGAAGAACAGAGCAGAAGCCGAGTCCTTCGCAGGGAGGCTGGTGCCGGGTCGGGGCAGTTGCCTTGCACCAGCCTCAGCCCACGCTGCCCTTCGCTGGGCAGGCTCCAGCCCCCAGGCAGCCGGAGCCTGGCAGAGGGAGGAAAGGGAGAAGGCTGGCCCAGATTTGAGGGTGTAAATCAGCAGGGTTCCTCTCCAGAGAGAGCTCAATTACATTGATTTACACTTGCTGCGGATTTGGTCCATTCAACCCAATTAAAACTCCAGAGGAAGTGCAGAGAGGCAGGATGTAATTACCCACGCTGGAATCCCAGTTCAGAACAGGAGGCAGAGCTCTCCGGATCAAATTAATCCCTGGTGTAACTCTGCCGAAGTTACACCAGGGCTATAATTGGCCTGAAACATTTTAACTATCTCATTGAATGTTATTCATGCTCTGCTGGAGATGAGAATGTTTATCCTAAATGAGAGACTCTAATGCTCCGTAGCAATAATAGAGTGTGAGGCTTATGCGGTTTCTCATTTACGAGGATGCTGGGGAGGCCAGATTGTCACGGAAGATGCGGCAGATCTGGACTCCCCAAATCTTTAACCATTTCCAGGGCTCCTGCGGTGGCTGGTTTTCCTCTTGCCCTTCCTCCAGCGTGCCCATCCTCCTCACTCCCAGGCTGCTTTTCCCTCTCTTGGAGATGCTGGGGGCTTGCACCCCAGCCCCAGCCGCGGGCAGAAGTAGGAGAAGATGAAAAGTGGTAGAAGAGGGAATGGAAAGCACTGAGAGAGGCCCTTCAAGATTAAAGCTCCTATAAATCAGCAGAAGTGAGATTTCCCAGCAACAGACTTGCCTCCCCAGGGATGCTAAAAGAGGGGATTTCCATTGATGGGAGCCGGCTCCGCGGCCCTTCTCCGCGTGACTCCAGGGAAGCAGCCCCCCGGGCTCCCGCGAAAGGAGCGGGGTCAGTGCTGTGGGTAGCTCAGCAAGCACGCGGAGCGCCCCGGTCGCCGCTGCCAGCCGGACACCCCACGGACACTGTCTTCCAGCTGCCGGTTATCCAGCAGGCTCCGAGGAGGGCCCCACGGTCATTCGAGCTGCCATCGGAGGGGAGGCCTGGGCACGCTCCCGTGGCAGGAGGCAGCAAGGCACCGCCAGGCTCCCTGGGGAAGGTGCCTCGGGAACCACGATCCCCCCCCGTTCCCCTTCCCGTGGCAATGCCGTCGGCCAGCCCAAGCACGCATCCTGCCGCTTGGAAAGCAAAGCCTGCGGGCGACGTTCCTCCCTGCCGCCGCTGTGCTCTGGCTGGTGGCACCCTGCCAGGGACACAGTTGGTCCCGCACCTCCGCTGTGCGCCCCGCGTCCTCCCAGCGCCAGCCCTGGCAGGTACCGCTCGCTGCAGGCTCTGCATCGGCATCACCGGGCCTTGGGAGGATTGCGATGATCTATCACTAAAT